AATCTTTTAGGTGACACCTTGTATAGCGGTATGTAACTTTTGTTGTTATTTTTGTTCCATAATCTAACTAATTAATAGTTTAAAAATTTTTGGTAGAGTTTCCCCGTTCTCCGCATAAGTATTAAGGGAACAAAAACTTTAATATTTTTTCACTTTTTTCCTCCTTATCTGATATTCGTACCTAAAAGACAGGCGACTTGTTCATTTTGTTTGATTTCGGCTCTAGTCTGCATTAGTAATGAATTTTAAAAATTTTTGATTTGTACAATTTTCTGTTTTTAACCTGTGATGTTTTTAATTATTTGTATTAACGACCTATGTCCGCGGTAGGTGTACCATGTTGGCTAACTTCTATGTAATTCTCGCATAGTAAGTAATTTTTTTAATTGACTAATTTTAAGAAAACTTCAACTTGTATTTTATTGTAGTTTTTTCCTGATGAAGAAACAAAATATAGTTTCGAAAACTTGAAAATTTAAAAGAGTGTAACTTTTTTTATCCTTGGCTGCATCCCCGTCTAAGAAAGAAATTTGGTATATATATATATAGACTGTGATTTTTAATAAAATCTTTATGACGTTCTTAAACTTGGTCATTAATTATTTATAACATATTTCAGAAATATATTCCGTTTCTCCTATAAATCAACTTTTGACGACACTGCGGTTTTATGCTACCACTCGACAGTTTCAAGAATAATTAGAAGTCTCACAAGAACTCGCCAGATTGAAACCTCAGTATATTAAAATGCCAAATCGTCAAGAACAAATTCATATTCAAAGTAGATTTTACATTTTTTTGCAAATTTATAAAATTGAGAAAAATAAAAAACGTACAATCGTATTTATTAACTTTTTATTTTAAAATTGGTTTGATTCTAATTACTTCCTTTGGCTTTTAACTCTTCTTCCAATAATTCGAAAAGTATATTCGACTTCAGTTAAAACCGGCTTACATTTTAGGCGGTGTATCCGAAAATATAATTAAGCCGGCTTTACTATTTAAGAGAGTTCAAGTTAAGCCGCTTTAGAGGTCAAACGGTGCATACCGGCATTAATGAATAATCTGTCTACATAATTTTCTATGGTCTACATTGTGTGTAGATGTAGAATAGAGCAATGCGATTTATCAGTTTTATCTCCTGTGAACGCGTAAAAATACATTAGAAGTGCTTTAAAGCGCTCTGAGGGCCGTTCGATTTATCAAAAATAGTATCTATTAGCCAAGGTCACTAAAGTATGCATCTTCTTTAGCTAGTAATTTTGGCTATTAGCAGCTAATAAGCAGCTCAGAGTTACTCTGAACTGATATTAGCTGCTAATAGCTACTGTTTTTGTACTTTTTGTCAAAACGAAAGACTCTCTAATCCTGGAAGAATGCTCCAATCGGGATCGGTACACATGAAAGCTGCTCAGATTGACTATTAAATTGGCCATTGACTTTAGTTTTTGATTTGGCAATGGCAATATGTAGAAAAATATATCTGTTAACTCTATTAAATTTGTATATATTATAGGTACCCCAGAAAATTAAACAATGATACCTACTTATCTAAATGTTCCATATCAACCATATCAATTTCCCAAAGAGCTCCCCAAACATGACTGTCTTTTTTGGGGACAATAGTTGCAGAAGCACCTTTCCATATTTTCGAGTAAGTAACGAAATCCAGTTGATAATCCTATATAAATTAAATACTGCTCATAATTTAAATAATTTTTAACTATTTTTTTTTCAAAATTAGATTACCTGTAATTTTCCTATACCATGCCTAACTGCAGTAGGATTATTAATATGGATTCTTTGTTCCAACAAATTGCTACCATAAGCAAAATATAAGAACTTTCCAACCATGTTAATTTTTCTTAAAACACAATTGCCATTTAATGGTAACACTAAAACAAGATAAAACAAATTTAAGTACAAACTTACAGTTTGCTTTGTTAGGTTATCTGTAAACTTGGAACTGGTATAATTGAAAACAAGGTGCTATGAATGAAAGGTTTAATAAGTAGGTAAATATTATATTAGATAATTATTAAAAAATATATATTAAGTAGATAAAATTTGTTTTAAATTACTGCATAGAACTAGATTTTTTTAGAGGTATCTATAGGTTTATATAGTTTTGGAGATAGAGTGTAGGTAGGTACTTGAGTTGGAAATAAACGGACATAGTTTGATACCTACTTTAGTTAAATTGCCCATATATATAATTATATTGATTAATTTAAACTATAAAATTTAAAATTCAAAGTTAATAATTATTTGAACTAGTTTAAAGATTATTAAAAACTTATTAATATTTTTAGCAGATCTAAAGACGTAAAATTGACACTGTGTTTTGTTAATAAACAATACAAGTAGCAGATGATTAAAATTAAATGTTGACAAAAAAGTCTTACATACAATTTTCCTTTATTTCTACTTACTTTTCGAAGAAAGTATTTATAATAATATATTATTCAACATGTTCAGTTTTTTTTTCTTGCTATCAATCAGAACTTACAAATATAATGTTAATTGTGGGTCAAAGATAATTTATTGATAATATGTGTGCTTTTTTTAACAATCAATTTATTGTGCCTAGAAGTACCTAACATTTTACATTATTTAAAATTAATGTAAAACATTGTGCTAAAATTATTTTAGTTACTAGATATGGTCATTAAGTGCATTTCGGCTATTAAATCATAATTATCCCTTAGGTACAAAATTTAATATTGCACTTTAAGTAAAACCTAATCTCTTCCCCAAGTATGGGTAGCTACAGGCTTGTCAATTCGATAAATTTCATCTCCAGTAATAAAATAGCCCAAATATTCAACAGTTTCAGGAGTTGTATCATAATGATAATGGCCAGCTTCTCCGTGGTGGCTGAAGCTGTGAAAATGTTGCACCCTCAAGTCAAGCCCCTAAAAAATAATAAATAAAACAAACAATTCCAGAAATATAAAATTTTATACTCCATCTCCATTAACTAGTGTTCCCAAAGCAACTAATGGCGCAGACATATTATAAAATTTCAACCAGTTGTTGAGGTCTTCTTCATTTTCTAAAGGAGTCTTTGAGAAGTCTCTCATTACGTGTTGTTTTACCTTACCCTCTTTTATTAAAAATGCTCCTCCTAATCCTACAATTGAAAAAATATGTCTAATTAAATTGTATATAAAAAAAGATGCTTTAGTTACCTACTAATTTGCCCTTATATACTTCTTCTAACACAGTTCTTATACTAGCAATAAAGTCCTTAGGTCCGATGCGTTTTTTAACATGTACTTTAAGAACCTAAAATATGTGTATACAAGACGTTACAGAAAAGTAGGTCAAGCCACCACATATTCTTTGAACAACAATAATGGAACTTATTACACCATTTTTAAATTATAAACCTCTTTTACAAAATACAGGGTGTTGAAATTAGCATTGAAGATATTTTTCATAGTAACTCCATTGTTTTGCATAGCATTCAATTGAAATTGTGCTTTGTCACCCCAGCACATTTTTTTATTTTAACCAAAACCAAAAAAGTGTGTTGATCGAGGATAAAAGTACAAAATTTCATCTGAACGACTTAAAAATAACTATGGCATAAAATACCATTATTTTTGCCAAAGTACTTGTAGTTAGGGACTATATATCTACTTGATTGTAACAATATGTAGAAAAATGTGTAAATTGCGAGAAAATGTATGGACATGCCTTTCCTGGTTTGCCTTCAGAAAATAATAAATTTGCTAGAAGAGCTATGCGAGATTCACTGTTAGGAAGTATCTCTTGTATGGAGTTTTCGTCATTTTGATCAACTTTTGATATTCTCGAGTGCTGTTCTACCGATCCATTTACAATATTGAGATTTAAGATACCCTGGAATATTATAAAAGAATTATCGAAAGAAGCCTTAATTAATATATAAGAACTAGTTTACAAATACTTACTTCACAGTTGACACCAATATAAGGATGTGGGCCAGCTCCAGCTCCAATTATAAATGCAGGGTTGGAATTAATTAGATTTGCAATGTCTTTTAAATCGTACACTTTTTTTCGGTCGACTATAGGTAGCAAATAAGGAGGTCCTCCAATTTCAACTATTTTTGGGTTTCCTCCTAGGCCTAAATAAAAATAATTAGGTATTTAGCTTTACTGTTTAACAGCACCAGTATCTGTATGTTTCTTAAGTATTTTCTAGACATATGTCATGATTATTTAAGCGATTTTATTTGTTCCACTTTGCTATTTCTATTATTTTTTTTTACCTTTGCTAGCTAAACTGAAGGGTTTTTGGGTCAAGTCGGGACTATCTACAACTTCTACATTTACTTCTGCAAAATTGGTTGTTAATCCTTTGTTTAGAGCTACAAAACGTATGTAAATATAAATATAAGAATTTAATTTAAATTGGTATATGTCCAATTTTTTAGTTACCATCGGCTATTTCTTGTAAAGGAGGCACATACAGTGATTTTTTTTCTACTGGTAAACTTTTTGGATCCAGTGCCATATTCCTAAAATAGGACATCTATAATAATAATATAAAGTAAATTAAATCCCAGAGTTTGGGATAAAAATATGGTAGACCAAAGGTAGCATGCATTTGTGCTAAATAAATATCAAACAGTAAAATATTTACCATTCTAGGAAAATAGCATAGAAGAAACACAAGAACAGTTTCATCTTTAATTAGAACATGTTATTCTTAATTTCCAGTATTAAATTTAGTTGTAGGTTAATACCCTTGATACTTATACTTAATTTTAATAGATATACTTAGACCTTCCAGGTAAAAGTTTTAAAACAGCTATTAATCAGAACTGAGAATATTACCTGAGGATAAATAATATACAATCACTATACCTGAATTTTATTAACCAATTATATTTCCTTGAAAGGCACAGTATAACTGATAGTGAGTTTTAATTATTCTTTAATTATATAATTTATTCTTAACAACAGGTCAAATAAAGTTATCTAGAAATGTAAATAAAATATTTATTTAGTTTATGCTTGAAATGAAAACAATTCCACAATTCAACGATTTATATCATTGATCAAAAGTGGGAACTGTATTACTTGTTTTCGCAAAATTTAATCTTATGTGACCTTGCATTCTATTCATATCTTTAACACTTGAAATAAGTAGTTTTGATATTTAAATTGTGCCGCATTTTCAGAACGATTTCATTGGCACATTGTAAGAACCTACGTGATTGGATATTTAGCTAAACCAGATTATTGAATAGCGTCTCGGCAAATCAGGTACCGGTATCATCAAATAAAAAAACAGAAAACAGAAAAGCCAAGCGTTTGTGTTTGTGGTATAATTCCTTGATGTATGCACCATGTTGGTTTAGATGTAGAATTTAGTTTAAATAAATATTTAAATAAGTGTAGATCTATAGAAAGAATAGTTGTACATTAAGATAGATCGACAGATTATAAATACAATTAGGTAAGTAAAATTTGCACTTCTGTCGACATTTGTAGCAAACGATACCTAACGCGTCTGTTCAGAAAATAAATCTTTTTTGTTTCTTTTTTAGACTGAGGTTCTTTAGGCCATGTCACGTTACAACTCTGACTGTAAAGTATATGTGGGGGACCTAGGAAATAGCGCATCCAAGCAAGAAATCGAGGACGCTTTTAGGTACTATGGTCCACTCAGAAACGTTTGGGTAGCCCGAAATCCACCCGGTTTCGCTTTTGTCGAATTCGAAGATGCCAGAGATGCGGAGGACGCAATTAGAGGATTAGGTATACAATCAGTTTTCTTGTATTCGTGTGCTACGATTTCACTAAGTTGAATTTCATCTTTATTTGTTAGATGGTCGTAGACTCTGTGGTCGAAGAGCAAGAGTAGAAAAATGTATGCATTTCAATACATAAACATTTGGTTATTAACATTTTCGTCTTTTGCTAGATGGTCGTACAATATGTGGCCGACGAGCGAGAGTTGAAATGTCCAATGGGAAAAGTGGCAGTGGAAGGTACAGGGGACCACCTCCCAGATCTCGGGGTAGACCCTTTCATCCTGATGATCGCTGCTATGAATGCGGAGATAGAGGGCATTATGCACGAGACTGTAACAGATATAGGCGTGGTGGAAGGCACAGGTATGTCATTCAGTTGAATTTTTTTTTACTATTAATTTTTTGTAAAGTGCTTTTTTAAAGAATATTTTTATTTCCTTCAATTTTATTTGTCAATTCTGATATTTTGTAATGCTGTACAACAAGACGTTAACAATCATTTTGATACTTTCTTTTTATAAATTTTTTTTGTTGTGTACCGATATAGCTAGAACATTTTTTCAACAAAAAATTTAGAATACAATCTTTTTCTCAATAGATGAAAGTAGAGTAATATGAATACTTCATTTAACGGAGATATTTATTATTTTTTTTAATTAAAAAAAATAAAATTTGTGATGAGGTAAGTAATTCAAACAAGGCCCATATTAATCGCTATTATCTCATAGGATTATTAAATTTAAATCTTATGAATTCTCATTTGTTTATGAAAGTACTAAAATATATTTAAATGTTTGAACCAATTTAAAGTTTTAAATGTCTAACCACCTCCGTTCCATATTGGAATATATTAAAGTTTTAATTTTTTTAATGGAATTAATGTACATATAAGTAGACATTATTAGAACCTTAGGTTTTAAAAATGCCCACAAATATTTATTAGAACGTTGGACATATAAATTCTCAATAAATCAACAAAATACAAGACAAGAAACGATGAACGGTGTCTTTACACGTGAACAACTGCTTTAGCGGCAAAAAAAGAAAGGTCATATTGCGAGTAGGAGAAAATAAATTTTATTACTATTTTAACTTACGTAACTTACTAAAAAAAAAGTGGGCCTTATTTGATGCCACGCCCTATTTGGCCCTAGTGCCTCACATTATGTTGTTGAATCTTGTTGTACAGTCTCCAGAGAAAGTAACACGTTAAATGCATCCGAAAAGGTGCGAAAGGTGAGAAAAATTGGCTTGACGTTGCTGCCATGTTTATAGGTTTAAGAGTCTGTGGCCGATAGTCAGGTAACGCATTGAGTACATTCACTCGTCTAAGAGTTGTCTCCCACTGACTTCGTAGAGCTGCCACGTAGTGTACATCGCTCACTCTGTTCTCCAATACGACTGCTTTAAACTAACGAGAGACTACTGTGAGCCAGTGAGAACTAGCCAGCTCTTTCGGGTGTACCCCTAGCTACTACCTAGTTGATTTGATCACTCTACTACTACCTACAAAGTTAACGTCACGACAACTACTGTCTCACAAGCTCACAAACAAATGGTAAAAAAAACCTCTTTACAAATTATAATATACTTAACATTTTGTTCGAGTCTGCCGAGTTAGCTATTCACTAATAATTTGATTATGAGAAATTCCATTTATTATTAATTAGAAGTCATTTAGAATGTTTTAATAGTTATATCTGAATGTTTTTTTTGCTCACAATTAAAAGTACATTGCAGTCGTGAATAGTCAAATGTTCAAACAAATTTGTATCACATTATTATGAATAAAATAACTTATATTTTGAATAGTTTAAAATGAATTCGTAAATAGTAGCATTTCATACAAGATGTTATATAATTTTGTGAAAGTTTCCAGGTATTTTTTTTTTAATTATGCAGTGACAGGAAAAATCATGTAGAAAAAAACCTTTGTTACATTTTGGTACCGATATGAGCAATCACTTGTGGATCATTAGAAACTCTAAAAAATTAGAATGAATGCTATTTGTTTTTAGGGGTCTGAGGAAATTAAAAGTAATGTAGCAAAAGTCACCTAATATTAAAGCATATTGTAAAGTACTGTTAAAAAAATGATTTAAATCAAATTTTATAGTCATATATCTATTTTGGAATGGCTTGGAAAAATATGTGGAATACATTTTTTTAATTACATATTAAAAATACAAGCATTTTTAAGTTTATTTTTCAAAAAAAAACTAAATAAAACTATTGTAAATTCAACTTCTGCACTATTTTCTGCATATTACAGTCTAGATTTACTGAATATTATTAAACACTAATAAATAACAACAGTTTTAGTACTGACCACATAGTTGAAATAAAAAATGTCTAGATTTTACATTGAAATTAATATAAGCACTTGAATAAATCTGCCACTTTAATATGCAAAAGATACCGTGGTAGCTTTATGTAAATGTTAAATGCCAAATCCTTTTGAAGTTTTTACATTTCTTTTTTCGAAAAATACATCTGAGAGTTCCTATTAAATTATGTTATTTAAACAATTTTTTTGGTCTAATACACTAGACACAGAAATTAAGGGATATTAAAAAAAATCTCAAAATTTTGGATGATTTTCAAAGAGCTGTAACTTGGAGGGAAATGGTCGTAGAGATAATAAAAAATAGGAAATTAAAGCTTCGAGTGTCTAGTTTTCAGATCTGCAGTTTAAAATTTTTTAGCGTTAGCAGTTTTTGAGTAATCATAAGAAAATCAACCAAAAAAAAATTTTAAATTTTTGCTTTTTTTAAAAAGGCCTATGGAATATTTTTGGCAATTTCATCATAAAGCTCTTTTAGACAATTTAATTCTCTTCAATTTGAGTGGTTCCGGAGCTTGTACGATTATTTGTTGCTGTTATCGTTGATCAAAGCAAAAAAAATAATTTTTGACTTTGGCAATCAATTACTCGGGAAATAATGGTCGTACAGATGACTTAGCGACAAATAAGGCTCCCCGCTCAAATTGAAGAGAATTAAATTATCTAGGAGTTTTATGATGAAATTACCAAAAAATTTTTTTGAAGTCCGTAGACCTTTTTAAAAATAGCAAAAAAATTTTCCATTGATTTTCTTATGATTACTCAAAAACTGCTGACGCTAAAAAATTTTAAGGTGCAGATCTGAAAACTAGGTACTTGAAGCTTCAATTTCATTTTTTTGTATTCTCTCTACGACAATTTTCCTCCAAGTTACAGCTCTTTGAAAATCACCCAAAATTTTGGGGTTTTTTTAATATCCCTTAATTTTTGTGCCTGGTGTGGCTTTTAGGAATTTTATTTTAAGCTTTAATAAATATAAATAACTCTTAATAGACATTTGTAGTATCTTTTTTTTTTAAGGTGACATTCTACATGATTTTTAACTTCTAATTTTCCCTAAAGAGGAATGGCATTATTTGACTTTTTTGTGTTTCTTACTATGTAGTGATGATTTCCAATATCCATATTCATTAAAATTTAATAATAATTTTTTCCCATAAGCATAATTTTTCCTATCACTGGAGAAGGAACAGAAAAAAACTAAGTATGAAAATATTTTTTCTCAACAATTTTACTTGTGAGGATAAAATAATTTAGAGCAAAATTGTTGCAATACTGACGTGTTTGTTTGTTGATTTTTGCCCATATACCTTACTTTATAATAATTTTACTTTTAACTTTTTATCCGATAAGCAAAATTGCAGAGGATTAACCAAGTTTATTGGGTATTTAAGAATGTTTCTCTTTTTAAATTAAAGATGTTTTTATTTTTTTTGTAAATATATAAAGCAATTTTATATTATACAGGGTGTAACTTAAGTGTCGGTCAGTTTTTTAAAGGTAATATTACGCGTTGCCCTGAATACAAATCTGAAATTCTCTTTTTTTTAATCAAATAAATAGTCAAGTTATAATTAGTTTTTTAAAATGCACTTTAATACTTATTTGTGTACACCACCGCTGTAATATTCATGTATTACAAATACATGAATTGGCGGCAACCTACAGTGCATATGAAGGGAGATAACGAAGCGAAGGGCATCAGTTGTTGTTCTGCATTTGAAGACAGTACATCTAACTGTGACTTTGAATGTTTTTCATTGCTGGAAGCCATCAATAGATTATTTGTTTTTGTGTATTTATCATTATTGGTTACGGCACGAGTTTTTTGCTACGTTACTTGTTAAGTACTCTTTGTGTGACGAACACCCACTCAACAAAAGTAACTCATTACGAATGGTGCGGAATTGTGCATGCGCTGCAACTAAAGCGCGTCGTTATTTGAGGTTACACTAGCTTCTCCTGCGGCGGATTATGAAAATTACTAAAAAAAAGTTTAAAAGAAAAATTAAATTTTTACGCCAGAATTTGAAAAATACACTATTGATACATGTTTCTAAAGGTCAAGGGAAGCCTCTGTATAAATATGACCCCTACTCATAGTTACACCCTGTATAATAAAAATTGTTTAACTCTTTAAAATTTAAAAAAATCCCTTTTAAAATAGCATTTTCTTATGTTTCAGTTACTTATGTTTGTGTTAAAACCATTTTTTAAAAATATCCTGGAAAAAATATTAAAAAATGATCCAACATAATTTCTAACATCCTGTATGTCCAAGCTGAAAAAATGCTGATGCATTTACTAATTTCTAGTTTATTTAGAATTTATAAACACTTCTCACTGTCAGATTTTTATTGATTCATTAATATTTCATATTTTATTACTTGTTCTTAGGATAACTTTCAAACATACTAAAAATGACTAAACCGTGTCAACAACTGTGTTTAGTTTGTTAAATACATAAATGGGTGGAAACATTTTAGTTTTCAAACAAATAATATACCGTTTTCATTGCGTTGTGTTATCAGGTCCCGCAGTCGTTCTAGGAGTCGATCGAGGGACCACAGAAGTCGTTCTCGAAGCAATTCGAGGTCTCGCAGTCGTTCCAGAAACCACTCACGGTCTCGTTCGGCTTCCGCAAAAAGAAGCCGAAGTCGTTCCCGTAGCGCTGAGAAAAACTCAAGATCTAGATCTAGATCTCGCAGCCGCTCTGCCGTTAAGGAAAATGGCAATTCAGGAGAAAAAGATTAGATAGATATTTCGTTCTTTCTTGGTATGTGTATTTTTGTATTAAGCCGTAAGATTCATTTATTTGCACATTAGAGTTTATGTTAATAAATTACATGATTTGTAGAGAAGTTATTTTATTTATTTAGGGGCTATTGTTTTTCAATTTTTTGTACTCATATCTCGTGGAAATAAAAATTCCAAATCAGTAAGTGTAGTTTCATTTCTTAAATTAGTTGAACTCGTCATTGATTAAAATTTTTTGTAAGTTTTAATTTTTTGGTAATTAGATTAATAATTTTAATCAGTTAGTGTTTTTATTAACATTACCAAAAAACTCATTTTTTTCCTTATCCAACAATCACGACCAAAACGGTAGATATAAATATCGAGTGTTCCAAAATTCACGTAAGCTTCGAATTTTGCACCATTTGTGCTGTAAAGTGCTGCCAGAGTAAAAACAAGACAGCGTGACAGCTGTTCAGGGTTATTAAAAACATGTTTTCATTGTTGAGCAAGATTTTGAAAATTATGTTTGGCAGCGAGAGTTCACAATTTTCATACAAAATATGGTCGGAGTAGTGATTTAACTTCATCAACTGTGAAGAGATTAATTAAAAAATTCAGGGAGTATAGATCAATTTAGTGATCTTAAACACTGTAGACTAGGCGGTATCTGTTTTGGTTTGGGTGAATCGTATATCAACGGAGATTTTTGGCTTTTTGGCTTTCAAATATCACTAGAAATGAACATTTTTCTATGCGCATAAAAAAAACCTGGGCTTTGGTGGAACAATATGTTAAAAAAATTCGAAAAATGTCATATTTTTCCTATTTAATTATGTATCTTTTCAAGAGTTGATTTTATGCGAAAATGGAAGAGGAAAAAAATGTTTGTAATTAAATTTTTTACAAAACGTGACTAGTTACAAATCGAATGAATCATGATTATTATGGTAAAAATCGAAAAAATCGCAAAAATGGGGTTAAAAAACAATACTTTTTAGGGANTCTGGTAATGTACATGAACCGGTAATTAAATCATCCATGTAGAAATCGTGTTTTATGACCATACTTGCATTTGGATAGTCCTTTTGACAATTTAGCCCTATTTGACGCAATGTGCGCGTTGCAAGAAATGATGCGCTGGATGTACCATATGTTATAGTATTAAGCCGGTAGTGTGAGAATTCTTCTTTGGGGTTGTTTCTCCATACTATGCGCTGAAAGTCACGGTGCAGTTCGTATATATCGATCATTCTGTACATTTTCTCTACGTCAGCAGTGATAACTATGCTATGAGTACGCATTCTAGTGACTATGTCGAAAAGATCGCCCTGTACCTTCGGACCTACTTTTAATACGTCATTTAAGCTAATACTTAACGATGTCTGGGCCGAAAACTACCCGTACTTTCGTTGTAGAACTTGTCTCTTTTGTTACCGCGTGATGAGTAAGATAATTAGGAATGTCGTTCGGATTATCCTTACTAGTATCTATTTTTGTCATATGCCCCATATTTTCGTATTCATGTAAAAATTCGACATACTTTTCTTTAAGTTCGGAATTTTTTGATAATTGACTTTCCGTTGCATGTAATCTATGAATTGCCATATTTAATGAAAGATTTCTTAGATCAGATCTTTTTTCTGTTAATTGGTTTGAATTAACTTTATCTTAACCTTTAAAGTAGACTAAAAAATGCTATTAATAAAACGTATTCTTTAATAAGCGAGTTTATATCAAAATATGTGTATTACACAACTCCGTCTCATCTGTGTACGTAGAAAACTACGAGGGGGACCACTATCTCCATAGGGATTTATTCCGAAAGCAGTAGTCAACCCGGTCAACATAAGTTGTTTCAGAATAACGTATTATAAATTATAGGGGCAATAGAATATTAAAAAATAAAGAGGTTCTTATTTTATACACTAGGGGTCTATTATCTGCTGTGTTCAAGATGCAGGGCACTAGAGTACATTATTTTTTATTTTCCCGAAATCTCCAGTATAATATAATCTCCAATATAATCGATGATGCATTCATTCATTATACTTTATTATATTATAAACTTTCTTCTCCTTCCCCTTCTTCTTAATCTGTGGTTATGTTGAATTCAGGTCCCATAGCACCGAGGTGTTATCAGGCCTATTGTGCGTCCCACTGTTCAAATCTATGCAGCAAGTAGTTTTGTCCTTTTTACAAAGTCCAAAAGCTTCCTTGCTGACACTACTCTCAGTTTCTTAGGTTGCAAAAAGGAATTTTCAAGGAGCGTCATTCTACTACGTGCAAATCCTGGACACTCGCCCAAGATATGTAAAGAAATTTCATCCGCCGAGTAACATTCTCGGCCGACCGGACTGTGTACAAGCCTTCGGCCTTTAGATGCGTTGTCGTCTGAATTATTTTCGTCAGAAATCGGACGTCAGATTTCGCCCAAGTGGTATCGTCCGCTGGATAAGTTTTTGCTTTGCACGAAGTCAGTCGTACATACTGATTTATCAAATCAGCATATTATAATTAATTGTTAATAATGTCGATGTTGTTCTTTTGTAACATCTTCTTACACCGCGATTAAGGACTAAAGAAAAGTGTTGGGTTAGTGACATATTAGCTAAACGAAAATAATTTGGAGAATTTCGTCATTTATATGATGATTTACAGAGGCATTTTTTCATAAATCAGATTAATTAATTTTTCAACATCTATCGGTACCTATGTCACAAGTGGTTCTACTATCAATTCGTTAGAACTGCGAACAACCCCATTTGTTTCGGATAGATCGCGCATCGCGTGTTATTGTCCGAATTCGCACGAATGAATTTGGACACAGTGTACGATCTCATCATTCGCACTTCTTCTTCCGATTTCGGACGAATCCAATTCGAACAAAAACGCATCCAAAGGACGACAGGCTTTAGTTTGTATAGAAGTTTCCTAAAGTGACAGTGTCCCGTTATAAGTTCCGTCGCATTCCTGAGCCGAATTTTATTAAAGTTCAGCAACTCATTCGTTCTTTTTTGCAAAGGACACTTCATAAATTCCTTCGCATGGCTTTGCCCTGGCCTTGAAGCCTAGTATTTCCTATGTTCTGACTCAGACTACCCTGATCACACTGTGCGGAGATGTGCTACAGAGCTCCAGAACAATGAACTATGATTCGGATCCCTTACTAGCAAATTCATACGCTTTCTTATTTCCATCGATGCCTTTGTATCCTGACACCCAACATAATCTAACTCTATTAATGGTAGCTAGTTCAATCAGCATTTGTAGACATTCCCACATAAGTTTTGAATTTACCTATATAAGCTTTACATAGTTTTATAGTGGACATTCATCGTTAACTGATAATTTTTCAACATTGATGTGCCAAATTTTTGTTTTGAATATATTGTCCGCTTACTGAATAATAAAAATTTGTTAATAGGTTGCTTTATTTTGTACAATTGTTTTATTAAAGAATATTATTTTAAAGTAGATTCTAATTAAATAGGTACAGGGTGATTCACTATATTTTGACCCCCCTTTAATATTTTTGTTTTAAGAGTTATAAAAAATTGTGAATTACGAAAGTTGCACGATTTTTGATGTGATTTTGTTTTAAAAAATGATAGAAAAATAAGTGAAGTCCAAACAAAACGGCCGCGGATGTTTGTTAGTTTAAATGGGATACCTATTTCGAAAAGTAAGCATTTGCGAACCTATGTTTATAGGATTTTTTTTTTGTATTTTTGGACATAGAATCTCCTTTAGAATTCCCTGAACAACAGTTTGCAACACCCTGTATATCTATAGAAGGCAGATAAACATAAGAAAAAAAGCTGTCACATTTGACGTAATTCAGTCAATTTAAGTTTTGATAATCAAAATAGTGAGGTTTTTTGAAACTGTAATATGTTTCAGTGATTATTGTGTCATCGAGTGCCTAGGGCAAGATTTGATTTCTGTGCCCCCCAAAACCTTGTAGGAAGGGAAACAATACAATAACTTTAAAGGTGAGTGCCCCTGTCAAAACTAAATTTATGGCCAATCCAGAGATTTGGAAATACTGCATCTAAATATGAATACACTGGCCGAGAAAAATATGGTGGAGCTCCGTCGTGCATGAACCACATGTTTAAATAAAGTGGAACTTCTTCAAGCCGTGGAAGCATTTTTGCTTGGCCACTCAGCAGTCCGGACTTCAATCCTCTTGATTTTTCTATTTGGTCTCGAATGAAAGATATAGTTTCAAAGAATCTATTGGCTCGCGTGAAGAGTACATAATTAATGGAAAAATGATTGCTCTTTCAGGTTTTGAATTAAGTTTCATGTTAGACATGCAGAGTAAAAAGTTATTAACTAAAGTTTCGGTTAAATTGTTCATAAATGGCTCCCTCTATGAGCAACGCTGAAATTGCAACATGCATCTTATTTGTCGCTTAAAAAATATAGTTTCACAAATTTTCTAACCTACATATTTTCAGAGTAATCGCAAAAAAACAATTTAAAATTTTAATTTTCAACACCCTGTATTTCTAAACTATCAACTTTTGAATAAGGCATGTTTGTACCAATGCTCACCATTTCATGTGTAATATCTTCAGCTTTCGATTTTCCCATTTGTTAATGAATCGACCTGTATAAAATAACTTTTTTGCATAAAATATAAAGTTCTATTTTTTAAATTTTTCATCTTGTGTAGGCAAAATTCCTTTTTGTACAAGAAACTGGGGAAAAATTTATTAGAAGTGGTTTATAATTCAAAATAATTACGTATGTTACAAATTTGTTGGTAATTATTCGTAATTTTGCAATAATTTCTAATCAAAATTTATTGAAATAGAATGATCCTCTTCTAATTTGGCATTTACACCTAAATTTTAATTATGCTTAACTTTCCTTATATTTTCTTTTACACAAATGGCATTTTGCCTAGATAGAAAACATGATTTTTTTAACCTTTTAAACTGGATTGTTTTGTTGTCTTTGACACCAATAGAAAGATCATTGGAAACACTTTGTACAGGGTTAGTCACTATATAATCTGCCAACTTATTGTGAGTTTATTATTGAAATTGCCTACAAAATTTTCCTCTTCAAAAATATATAATATGTTACTGTTTGATTCAGGACTTTTATTAAACATATTTCAGTTTAAATCTATTTTTGAAAAAACAGGAGGGAAATTTATGTCTAAGGGATCGCAGTGGCTATGGACGAGGCACATGGAACAAACAAATGACTGACAGGAGTTTATTTTTATTCATCATTAATTTATTCCCTATAAAAAAGTGTTTTAAAAAAGAAATAATGTTTAGTGAGAACGACAAATTTGAAGTTATCGGTTTATTTTTTGATAATTCACTCCTGTTTTTTCAAAAATAGTTTTAAAGTGGAATAAGTCGAAAAGTCCTGAATCAAACAGTAACATATTATATATTTTTGAAGAGAAAAATTTAACGAAGCTAAGTGTACTAATATAAGTATAGGGTGTTACATTTAAAAAAAATTCTTTAATTGAGTGATTTCCATTATTCAATTGTTTTTTCTAATACTGTATTATAAAAATTCATAAAAAAGCTAAAACTTTTGTATTAAAAGCTTTTTTTGTAATTTCAATAATAAACTCACAATAAGTTGTCAGATTATAGTGACTAACCCTGTACATATTAAATTCTGGAAAAGAATCGGTTATTTGTTTCCAAATTGGTACAGTGTATTAGTAGAGTTCTAAATCATAAAATCATCTATTATATTTCTCATCATTTCTTATAGAGGACATCTTGTATATGTTCGCCAATTTAATACTACGTTCCTATACACTTTATTAAAAATCAATAAAATTTGTTGCACTTGATTTTCGTTTCTCTTCAGTATTTCCGCCTCCTCAGAGTTTAGCAAGGGGCCCTAAACATAATCCAGTCTGACACTGTGGCAAACTATTTGAGGGGATACAATAAACGTTCTTTGAGAATAATTTATATTATATACAAAAAACATTTATTTATAAAATCTACATATTTAACATTTATTTACATAATAATTAACGAATTGTAATTATTAAAACATAACATTAAAGTATCCTTACAACGACTTAACATCAAATCTAGAAAATTATAAATATTTTAGGAAATAGGCAACCATAAAAATGGTGAGGTAAGAGTTCACAGATAGTATCAGTTGGGTAGATGAATTAGGAGTGCTATGTATTCGTTTTTCTTGTTCGGCTGTATGTTCAGGAGTGTGATGTGCTGCTCTTTTTCTTCTATTCCCACCATCTTTGTTTCCTTTCCTCACCCTGGACAACCTAGTCAAACCCTGGGGTAAATATGACGACGATGGAAGAGAGGGAGTATCCAAATCACGACTTAAAACACCAGATTTTGATTGAAGTTGAGGGGCATTCTTATCGATGAATGCTGGATTTAGAGGTGGCAGCTCTCCTTTAAATTTACCTACTTGAGGCATTGTCTTAATGTATTGGCTGGCTTTAGATAATCGTTGGTCTATAAGGGTGGAGTGATCTGTTAGTTTAGCCGTCAGGCTTTGTCCTGATACTTTTTTCCCATCGTAAGCCACCACAACGTCAGGAGGCGAATCGATATTGGAAAAATCTGGTGCTTCTATGTCTATATTCGATGGCTTTCTTATAACATCTATAGGTTTGTTTTTATTGTCAGATGGAGGTAAGTAATAAGTTTCGACTCTCTCAGCAGCTTCGGCAATTGGCTCTTCCATAGTTTCAGGCAAGCTGCGGGGACGTTTCAGAACTATTTTTGTATATGGGTAATAGCGCTTTTTCAGTATCCTCTTCTGAACTTTAATACGCTTCTCTTTAACAGTTTTGTCTGTGGGAGAAGGAACAAACATAGGCTCAAAGTTTTGTATAGGTTTAAATTCATATTGATCGGCATTATCCACATTAACTACCCCCATTTCACTTTCGTATTCGATATCGGGTTCATTATTATCCATTCTGTCCTGGAATTCCTTGCTTACAATAGGTTTAAATCCACTTTCTATTTTTACCGAACCCGGTTTGAAGCCGGTGTTGTATGCGGGATGTATAAAAGTAGGAGTTATATCCATAATTGAGGTGCTAGGGGCAGTTTGGATTTCAGGTTCTCTTTCTGTAGAAGCCTGCTGTGGAGATATCTCCACATTTCTTATTTCATCTGTCCTGCTAGATTCGGTAACAATTACATTTATCATTTGGTTTTGAATGGGTGGGGACTGGGTGGAGTAAGTTGGAGGAGGTGGTTTGGATAAGAAATATGAAGGAGCCACAGGAGTTTTAGGGGGCATGTGGGGGAAGAACATGGGTTTGTTTTCTAAAGGAAGAGCATAGGGTCTGACATGTGACATGACATGTGGTATTTTGTATTGCTGTGGCCTGTAAATTTTTTTGTACGTTACTTTTTGCATGGGGAACTGTCGCATGGGTGGCCGCATTATCATTTTTACTGGGAATTGCATTGGACGCTTAGGATAACCAGGTGGGGGGCCAAGAGGTCTACGCAATACTAGTGTATTGAATTTGGCTGGTAAATTAACAGGAGGAGGCATAATAAAACTTAAATTTTGCCTATCGGTAGCAGCAACAGCAATATTGTCAGTAAATTTTTGTGGGAACTGAGTCGTCGTACTTGGTCTTTCTGTAGTAGTTGTGGTTTTCTCTGTAGTACTTGCAGTTGGAGTGGTACTTGTGCTTGAGTTTGTTGTGGTGAAGGAAAGAACAATTTCCTGGATAAAATTTGGTGTAGCATTTTCGTGTACAGTGTTCAGAAGTGTGCTGGGCCTGAAGTTTTGAGGAGGTTGATGTTGAGTCTGATCAAATGGGTTTGGATTATGTGTGAGCTGTGCAAAATACGGTCCGGTGTTCTGATAAAACGGGTCGAAATAGTTCTGCTGTGATGGGGTTGGGATTGGTTCATTTGGTAACTTCTCTTGAGGTTGCCTGGTCGATGGAAGAGGATCTAGTGTGGAAGGAATGATTTTCTTTTCTGAAACTGTGGATTTAAACTCTTTATCTTCCTTGTCTTCTTTAAATAAAGTATTTGGATTTACCCGTGTCTCGATGCGAACAGACGGACTTTCGTCCAAGTCAATGTCCGATTTGTCCTGTAAATCAGCAGGGGCGTCTACTTTTACTGGTATAATTTCACTAGCTGCAGGTTGTCCGTCACAGGAATCGTGAACGTTGATTTTCCATCCCAAATAACGGTGAGTGAAACACTAAAAAAAATCGTTTGTTCAATAAAATTATATATAAAAATAATTATATTTCTGAAATTGTTCAACTGTGTTGGCATAGACTCTGGAAAAATAACTTACATAGTTGTTTCTTCATATCTACCAAGTAAAAATTTCTAGTTAATAAGGAGAAAATTCTAATTAATTATTGAGTTATGGAAATTATCGTAAACGTTTCTACTTAGTAAGTAGAAATTTCGTATAGTACATCTTGTCACTTCAGAGCCATCCTAACATTACATTAATTTCTTTACATAGGAAATATCTTTTTAATTAATTTTAATAATTTTTTATAGTTTTTCTCATTTTCATTAAGATTTAAAAAATCACCAATGGGCATTATTCAGCTTATACAAAAACTCTACAATATACTGCATACAAAAGAAATACTTATGTGTATTTCAATTTTAATGGAGTAGTAGTGTAGTACTAAATATATGAGTAGATTGATAAATTCTAATTCAAAGTTTAGTCATTGGTCATGGGTGACTAGATTCTGCAAATAATTTAAGATAATGATTCGATTGGAATCGATTTCGAAACAAAAGTAAGGCCATAATCCCATGATAGAAAACTTATATTTTAATCAATTACAATTTAACAATTCACCTACCTGATAGTAAACAGTATCAGGCGTGTCTTTATCTGGAGTCCACTGTATAACTCCCGGTTCGCCTGGATCACATTTTAGTTCTAGGGTTCTCTGATATGCTCCAAAGGAATCGAAATCATCTGCTTCCGCGTCGCCCGTATGTGTCCAGTGACATAAACGACCTGTTCCTGTTGGTTCTAAAGACCCCGTTTTTCCTTGGCGAACACCAGCAAAGATCCGAATGTTCTGAAAATCATTAATTAGTTGAAACAGCTAATTATTTTATTTAATAATTCTACCAACCTGCCTTTCTTCTGGCGTCTTGTACTCGTAGCCACCAACTGAATCATCTGTGATGTAAAAAGGATGATATTTGGCTGACACTTCAGAATCATGTCCACCTTCTACTACGAATGTATACGTTTTACCTCTCACTACGTTAATTTCCGGAATTAAAAGACCGTTGATATACCAAGATATACCCCATCCGACATGACCTGTAAAAATAATAACATGCATGTTGTTAAGATGTGCGGGATGTTTTATAAAAAAATTCTTATGTTACTTTTCCTGTTAACATACACGGTAACCTGGAATGGTTTGGACACCGCTCGACCATATATTTCTGAGATAAAAGATGGTTTAGTCAATGACTTACAGGGTGAGTCATATAGTTAGATGTAAAAAATTTAATGAAGCAAGGCAATTAAACAAATTAACCTCTGTGAGAAAATACTTTCTTAAAAAGCAATGTAGGTACTTTCAAAGAAATCGTCTTTAATTATTTTTTTTTTAATGAAACATTGTTGGTTTTTGAGATATTTTAATGAAACTTGACAGGAGAATAGAAGTGTGTTCGAAATAGTTAACATGAATATAGGATTATTTCTTTTAATTAAATTTTAGAGAGGTTGCTAATAATAACTTAAACATTATTTTTTGTTATTTTTTGTTGGTAAAAATTTTGAAATGTCATTTAATTTACTGTGAGAAAAGTATACTCTGCCAAAATACATATATTTTTTGTTTTATGCCAACATACCCTCATTCGAAAGTCAACACTTTCTGATATGTAGCCCTGTACAATTAGCTTTGATTTACTTCATTCGAGAGATATCAACTTTTTAATGCGGGTTAATTGTAAACAATATTTAATCCAGTTACCAATTTCATAAAGATGTGAAGTTTAATAATTAGACCAGTAGGTATACCCCGAACTCTCTTCAAACTCAAAAAAGTTCAAAATCTCTACAAACAAAAAATAGCAAAAAACGAAAGATCGATAAGGTATTTTTAGGGGATTTAGGTAAAAAATAACTGTTCAGCTGTCCCAAAAATTTCCTTATGTGAAGCCATATTGAAATATCTTAAAAAGTGACGGAATTACTGTAAAAAATAAAAAACGTCTATAAATTACCATAACTGCAGTTTAAAGCATCATTATAATTCATAATATTGACACAATTTAGGTTTGAGTTTGTAACATTCATTGAAGACGGCTCGATATAATAAATTATTTTCTTTAAACAGTGTCTTATTACTTACTAGATCACTCTGTGTGATTTATAGAAAGGAAATTTTGGTGTTCAGGACAAGTATAGTTCAATTCAGATATCAGGTTTTACAATAGATCATAAAATTGGGATGTTCATATATAAAATTATGGTGAAATAGACAGTAGTTTATGCTGAATAAAAAAATTAAAAAATGGACCCATGTGTTTTAAAATAAAATAATAAGTGGTATTGTTCAAAGTGGAATACATACTGTAGGCAAGCTGGTCAAAATTGTTTTATTTTGATCGCAGAAATCAGTGGTCGAGTGGTATCCCAACTTGTCTAGGATATCATGTACTTGACTACCACCTGTAGGGTTAGATGTCCAAGTGTACTCTTTGGAGTCTTTTATAAAACTTTCTAAAAAAATTGAAGAATTTTTTAATTCCAATAAATTAGGTCATCACTGAATGTTCTGGAAAAATATTGTCTTGTTATTGTCACTTAGCTAATTGTCTTGAGTTACTAAAACAACTTTTAGTCTATTTTTCATTAAAACTTATTTTGCTGTTAAAAATATACCCCTTCCTGTGTAAGTTTTTTTACCTGTGATTGCCGGGTATCCTTTTTTTCCTCCAGTAGGTCCCATTTGTGCGTAAAATACACCATCTTCAGGTTCATAACACATAATGGGTGGAATCACCCATGCTTCCCTCTTTTGTATAGAAGCAGATGGAGCTACTGCTCTTGTAGAGGTACCACTTGTTCTCTGACTGCCCCGTCTACGTTGCTGTTGGGCCACGCTAGAACTTTTCTCTGAATCAACAGCTCCCTCTTCAGTTGGTTGAGGTTTACGACTACCACCTCTTCTTCTATTTGGATTTCTGGTTGGAGCGCTTGTGGTTGGTGGCTCAGATGCTGCTATCTCAACAGTTGGTTCAATTTTGTTTCTGCTTTGAACGGGAGCCATCGAAGGTTGTTCATTCTCTGGCATTGGACAGTTCCACCTTGCTGGTCTACCGAAGTCTATGAAAAGGTTGTTTTTGAGGTAGTGGTTGTGGAACGACACTTCACGTCTTTGATTGAGAGGTCCTATGGCCCAGATGACGGCTTGGGAAGTGTTGGTCGAAATTGGAAGGTCGTATACGTCAGATGCTTTCAGGGGACGTTGGAAGGTAACAATGGAGTAACCATTCACCATAGCTGCGTTCAAAATTTTAACACTGTTGCTATCCTCCTAAACAGAAAAACACACATTAATATAAAATACAATACATAACATCGGGATGTTGTTTTTTCATTTCAGGCCTGACAATCTTGTCTGCAATATCTTGTAAGTATCTCAAAAATTATGGATTTTAAGAATTGACATTATGGCCGAAAATAATCCAAGGAACAACCTCCTGTACCGGACTTTTAAAATGCCCTGTAGATAATTGGCATGATATTTTTCATATGTTTAAGAATTAGCTACGCTCCAATAATTCTTTAACTCTACCATTTTTCAGTACAAAAATTTAGACAAGCAACATAAAGGATTTGTTTAGAGAAAATATGTTCCAACAGATTCTTACTCAAGATCTTGATCAAGTTTTCTTTATACAATACACTGACTAGGTCTATTGGTTTCAAGTATCATAGAATCAACTTACTAATGATAGTTTATTATCAGGGCAGGATCCTGAGGGTCCAGAACACTGGGCCTTGTCTGCTAGGTAGTAGTCTTCGGCAAATCCTTTAAGAGTCTCTTTATCTACCCAGGCTACAACAACATCTCCTCCAATCATGACACTTCTCGCATTATCTCCAGAAACTCCAAATGCCATGTAGTCTCCATTATCTGAAATCAAGCAAGGAGTTACAAGAGGGGTAAATTTGGTTGAACACATTTTCTGAATTTTTATTTGTACATGGTATTTAAAAATATATTGCTTAATGGAGGATTTATTTTCTAATACTAAGATAAAAACTTTCCATAGGGTCCGTTCCTCGTTTTTGAGTTTTCTGTTTGTTTGAAACAAGTTCAGCAAGTAGGTAATTTCAATGAAAATTTGGTGATGGTGCCTATTTTTCTCTTATTTGGTGATTGTGTTCGAGTACGGTTATGTATCTAATAAATAATATTTAAACTAAACTCCCTTAAAATTATTACAAGATAATAAATATCCTACATATTGAAATTGTATGTGTCTTCTAAACGAGAGTATATTATCGAAATTATTTCTGTGTCAACCTGTACGTATAAAGCTTTTATACAGGGTTCTTAACGGTAAGTGGCCTATTAAAGGTTTCAGAGGAGCCAAAGACAATATGACTCTGAAATTTTGTTTACGGGGGTCATCAGATATGTTCCCTTCAATGAAAATAACGTCATCAATGTAGCACTTCCGGTTATATTGGAAGTAGCTGTCAACTGCGTTATTTTAAATGGAACACCCTATATATTATTGTATTATCGACAAGATAAATTAAAAATAAGTCAAAATTGTTAAAGCTTGCCTGTACCTAAATCTAACCATTTTCTAGATAATCGAGATTTTATAAAAATTTGGACAGATGCAAGCGTTTCGAAAATTCTTTATATCTTTCTTCGTTCTGGGAGCTTTCACTTGTTTTTCGGAATACGCAAAGAACATAAGAGGCACTATATTCAAAATCAAAATTACCCGAAGAAAATTGTACTAAGTGTCCCATTTTTTACCTTACATATTGAAAACTTAAAATCGACAAAACTTCTTAAATTCAAATGGAACACCCTGTATCTTTCTGCATCATATTATAGAAAATCAAATTTTCTTTTCACCGATATAGGCATTGTAGGGCAATTGTTACAGTTTCAATTTTCTCGGATATTTGCGGTTTTCTTACATTCTCAAGAATATTACGTTAAAAATATCATCAAAGGTGCCTTGAAAGGCAAATATTGGTACTGTCATTCAGTATTCTACAAGTATCAAGTACTTTCTCATCAGAACACGTCATTGACAGAGCGGTCGCCGACTACTCTTGAGGGACGTGGGACACCCCAATATTTCACCCCATTAGTTTCGAATTTTTCCGCAAAAACGCCAGGAATGCCACGAAATTCGAGCTGACACACGAGACCGACTTGCCTACTGAAAAGTAGTAGATACCCGAGCGAGTATTGGTAGAGCCACCGTGAAACGGGATCGAACGTCGACTGTGATATCTTGCAGTTCTACATATAAGCAAAGTCTCTGACCAGTGTGCGCACATAACACGAAATCAAGCGTATTCGTTGAATGTCGATATCTTGGATCCGTCCTTGCTTATTTAGCGGAAAATAAGTATAATAATAATAAGCTATACTGAGGGTTTCGCATTACATTTTTTCCGGATTCGTAAAACGAATTCCAATTTCAATATAGTTGCATTATATAGCACTGTTTTATTCATGATATACGAGTACATTATTCTTTCAATTTAAAACATTGTTAAAAATCGCACTACGTGAACTCCAGATAAAAAATCTAGCATCCAGTCAGCTCAGGACCTGCTGTGCCTGTGGCTAAGATGCCAAGGCAGAGGGGCGTAAATACAGTGTCACAAGAACAGTAAAAAAATGGTACTCTCAAATTAATCCAAATATAAAAGCATTTCAATAGAAAATGTTTCGGTTGAGAGCCATTCTGCTCTAGGTAACTCTCCTAATACATATAAGTGATTTTATCGAATAAGCTGTTCTAAGATGCCTGTGTAAGTCCGCCACTTAATCTTTAGTCAGTCTTATTTCCCCCTTTCGGCTGTTTGTTCTGCTGATCCACGCTCTGATTTGTTCATCTCAATAACGCTGGTTTGGCATTTATATACAGGGCGACTCTCGTATACAAGTTACATTTTGATGTTATATACTTAGTATTTGGTTGAAACCGATCTATGGCAATCGTATGTACATGGGACATAACCGATAAAATTAAGAAAAAAATGCTGCTATATATCATTGTAAAACCTCCCGAATGAATGAATTTTGAAAATTCTCTTTCTTGTTGTCAATGACATGCCTATGGGTACTATACAGGGTGATTCAGAACATACAAAAAAATTGAATGTACAAGGGACTCTTACAAATACAATTTTGTAAAAGAAAATCAAAAAGGGTAGTTTGAAAATGACTTGAAAATACAATTCTGTACCGCATTGGAAACTGATTCACTGTAAAACCTGATCTTGTGCAAGGCAAAGAATGCAGTCGGCGAACGGCACGGCGGCAAAGTATAATAAAAAATGAGCGGACAAACAATTTAAAATTTCTTTAGAAATAGCGAATCACGCTAGAGATTACAGTAGCCCAGCGATGTAAAGGTTAAATACCACTTAACTAATTTTTTTCTCGGTAACTAGGTATAAGGATTTTACAACAATTTTTTACGATTTTGTATATCAACCGAATTATGTCAAACTATCCAAAGTTGGAGACGAAACTATGTTTCGGAAACAAAAGCTTTTAAGTCCACGAACTTTTTTCTTATTTTGACAATGTTCATGTTCACAATTTCCCAACATCTATTTGCTTTACATATACTTCATGTTGAGTTTCTAAATAAATCATCCTGAATGGTGTTACGCTTATCTGCAATTAACAAACATTTTTTTAGGTGCACAGCTATTGAGACCACAACAGCTCTAATGAGCTGTTAAAGATAAAAGATCTATTTTTGGTGTTATCGTAACGTTCATTATTAATATCTTTTGTTGGGGTGTAGTTTATCCGCTAACGACACAGACATAAACGGCAAAATTGTTAAAAGTAAAACTTGGATGAATTATTTCTGAAAAGAGTATGTACAGGGTTGCACGTGAAAATATTAAATTTAGATGAAAATTTGTCACTTGGCTCTATTTAGCTATTACCGAACAACACGTATAATCGGTATCACGTTTATATAGGATGATAAAAAATTCAATACAAAGAATTTAGGGGCGTATTTTTGAGGTCAAAATAAGACTTTTTTCCCATAAATGTGCGACCACAAATGCTTAGTTTTCGATATACATGGTGTTAAAGTTTTTTATTTTTTTCAATTTTTTAGGAATAATTTCCAAACAGATCTCAATATTGGCATACAACTTGGGATACGAGAGTTGTTTAGGATTCCAAATTTAAATATGTAATTGCTTTTGACGCTGCTTATATAATCTGTATTCTGCCTGTATGGTTCCTAAGAGTCTTAGATTTCAACAAAACCTCTAAGAATAATTGTCAAACTAAACAGCCATAGCCTACTATGTTTTTTCTCAGCACTGATTTTCTCAAAAACGATTAGTTGCATCAAAAAAATGTTTTTGGCTTAAAATTGATGGGGGAATAAATGCAGTAATACGAAACGTCTCTGTACAGAGTAGCGAAGAAGCTATGGCCAATTTAATTCAATCGCACCATTATAGATGTCGCCCTCTACAAGCAGCGTCAAAATCAATGACATATTTAAGTTTAGCACCTTAAAAAAAATTATTCCTATCAAATAAAAAACTTTGACAACCTGTATATCAAAACCTTAGCATTTGTGAAACCACGTTTATAGGAAAAAAGTATTATTTTGATCTCAAAAATAAATTCTTTGTACTGAATTCTCACTTCTCACTCTGTATAAAGCTTCTTACGAAGATCACACTTCAATGGTATTATACAGAGTGTTTTCCATGTGATAACTTCAAGAGGTCTTTCGTTGAATCATTTGATAAAAATCTGTAAAGAAATAAAGACCTAAAGCAATTCGATTAGAAAAACTATATCTATTCGAATATCGTCCTAGAACATTAACAATTTGTGCACTATTGACTATTTTTAAAATCGTATTTGTAAAAAAGCATTTTTAAAATCAGGTATTCAATTGTGTGGTAGGTACGTAAAGTTCTAGAAGTAACACAAAAAAAGATACTAAGCGATAAAATGGAAGATATATTTTCTGCATAAAAGATTTTAAAAATTAAATGCACTTATTAAATTTTTGTGTCGTTGGTTGACAGACATGCATACTAATTTAATGAACTTTTAGTTTTAATTAATTAAAATATTTGTTCAAACTTTATCTTTTTAACACAAACGGCGAATTTTAAAACTCTAAGATAATCGCTACCTCTATTTGAAACGTATAATAATGTAGAAGTTTTTTCATGTTTATGGTTGGAAAAAAAAAATTTGTTATTTACAATTCTGGAGATATTTGATGTATTTGATGATGTTGTAACCGTTCATTAACTAATAGCGAAACTGTATGACTTTGATGCAATAATTGTTTATTAAAGAACGCCTTAAATTTAACAAAAAACTTAAATATGCGATAACATACAGGGTGCTTGTTTTGAAAAAATGAAATTAGATAAGGCTTATAAGACTAAGGTACTTTATATGATTCAAAATATTTTTAAAAACTGAAGAATTTGATCATAGTTTAGATTTGGTCGTAAATAGACGATCTGTATATGTATCAGTATCACACACTATAACAGTAGTACTGGAAAATAGTGGTACATTCATGACTAAAATGAGTTCGAATCCATTGGGATTCTTAATGTCTAATTATATTTATTTTAATTTGCACTATAAAATAGTCATAATTGGAGCTTGGACTATGCCTTAAATTATTTAATGATTGAAGTATGTATGTTTCATACGCGGAATACGCGCTTTTACGAGCTTATCGGTCAATAAATAAAAAAGTTGTGGGGTGACTTTAAGTAAAATACATTGCATATGCATATTCATATATACATTGAATCATTAAGCTCTTTGGGATAAAAAGATTGAAATAATCTCCTGAAGTTATGTTACGGATTTAGGAAAATTTTATATACTCGTATTAGAACCAGGTGAGTAAG